CTTAGATATCCCGCGTCCATATACTCTCAAGCCTTGGAGCAGACTTGTGGACATTTTGGTTTGGTGGTAGTTAGTTATCGGACGATTATAAGTTGAGCATTGTGAAAGGCGAAAACGGAAGGAGAAACGACGATTACGATTTCCAGATTTCCAAATGATTTTCATAGCAAATACGATCACATCACAAGGTAGCATCCTAGCGACTTCAAGCTTTTTGCACTTCAAAATATTTTTAATAACTGTCAGTTGAACAAAACCGAGATCATTGGACATGCCAAGCATACAATTTTTAGATAGAGAACGAACTTAACTGACAGATAACACATTTTCAGAAAGATTTTCGATTTGGTAAAGGTAAAGCAGGAAAAGAATGATTTCGAATTTAAAGAATTGCAATATCTCCTGGAAACTCTCTTTTTCTCTAGTAATGTGAAAATGGCTATCGTTTATTTGTTGCTGATTACGCCAAGGGCTTATAGGCACCTAACCCAGCGGAAGGAGCGGAGGACCAAGTGTATAGCCTTACTTGCAACTGTTGATAACGTCCGAAGAACTTTTGCAAATAAAAACCATTTCTGACCATTTGCTGCGGCACTTTTCCCCGAAGCAAAAGTAGGGAAGAATCCCTTTCTGAGTTACAAAGAAACAGAGAAAAGTATGTGGAAGGCAAATTTGTAAGCGTTTTTCGACATTTGTCGTATCCTCCCACTCATAAGAAGTGGGTGCCCTCAACGAGGCCCCTTCAGCCGGCGGTCAGGACATTTTTTTAGGGCGATGTGCAATAGAAAGAAATTAAATCTAGATTAATTACTGGAGATGAAATGGATCTACAATAAGAAGTGTCTACGATCCGGTTCTTATCAGAAAACGATGAATTCAACTATTGTAGATAAAGTTCCTTTTAAATAGAGCATCAATCGAACAAAAGCGAGCCATCATAGAAGATGGCATCTCAACTCTTAAATAAAGAACTAAAATGAACTTTCCAGCACACCATTCTGCTAAGAGTGATCTTCTCGGCTAAATACTAGTAAC